AAATGGGTGAATTGTATGGTATGTGAATTGTATCAGTAAAACTGTTTTTTAAATTTCAAAAAATTTAGGAGGAAAAAATGAAACCAATCTCAACTATCTATCAAGATATCAAACATTATACTCTATTCTGTTGATGGAACATTATGTAGTCATTATATATTATAAACCCAAAGATCATGTGACAACAGAGAAAGTATGTCATGTGGTATTAAGGAGTATAAGAGTGAGGTACAAAGTGGTGTTATACCTAAATGTGCATGCATTTGGATAAAGGCAGGCAGGAAACTCGGAGACAGGAGAGTATGGGGAAGGGAATGTTCCTCCTTGCAGAAGTCCCTTTAATTTGCTGTATCTTGAAAGCACTTTTTAAAAATGTACTTTGTAATCATAGCTTTGTGGTAGGTGGGCAGGTGACACTGAAGATGCATAAAACAGAGAGAAGGAAGGAGAGAGCACAAGGGACATTTTAAAAAGCAGCATGTAAAACGTCCAAGCAATGGAAATTTAAATGCACATAGTTAGCGGGGCATTTAAGGGGAAATCGGTACCGAGGGAGGTGCTGGAGAATGTAGAAGCAGGCCAGGCTCTCACAGGATTCTGCCCAGAAAACTTAAACACTGGAATGCTTATAAGTATGCTCTTCCCTGTGACCTGCTCTCTGTTTTTGAGTGTGGAGGGAAAGAGATTTTCATATATCGGAGCTGGTGTGGGTTCGTGATAAAAACCAAAAGGAAGTTGGGACGCTTAGCAGTATGCACAGTTTACTTAAGTTCACCAAAATTGTACTGGAGTGTGGAAAAAGGGAGGAAGTCTGGCCAAGCCCGAGTGAGTCAACATTTAATGGCCCTCCACCCAGCTCTCCTCCCTTCCCAAGGCCACCTCACCTCTGCGGCTGTGTGTTTGACCCTAGCAAGGCATGAACACCAGCTGGGATGGGTGGGGCAAATCCCAAACCCCCTGTTGGTTGGCTCCAGTCAATATGTTGGGGGTGGGGCAGAGAGAACAGGGACCAGAGCAATGGCAACAATCTATACCACCTTCTTTTTCAGGAATTTTCTCTTTCCTCGGTTCCCACTGGATGTTTGAAATATCCTTCAACATTCTAGGACCCAGAAATAGCTTGTGGCTTTTATGAGGGGCAACTAAAGTACTGTGTCAGCAGTTCTTGAAAAGCACTCTACAGAGGCAAGGTGCAGTTATCTTTGCTCTGGAGAAATAACGGGTAAACAGGCTGAGTTTGGGTAGAGGGATAACAATCTTTAAAGTAGAATTTGCTTTCATTTCAAAACAGAACACACTGATCCTAGGTATGGAGAGGGATAGGTGGGAAGTTGATGTCCGTGTTTTCTATGGAGTATAAAATGAAGATTTCTAAGAGAGAACACATTCTCTCCATTAGAGTTACTAGGAATGTATGAGCTGCCCAGTGATGCGCCCCTATGAAGATGCCCCCTGGATGGATTCCACTGCTCAGTCAACCAGCTGAACCGCCAGATGACCCCTGCAGCCATTCGTCCTCATAAGAATTCTAGATTATTCCTGTGCACCAGGAGTTGACCTTATATTTCAGGCACCAAAATAAATACTGAAGGCTGCAATTATAGTTCAAGTCTTTAACCACTTCTTTGGTCTCCTTTTAGGAATCCGGTCTTAGAAAACTAACACCAGGTACCTTTGATGTGGAGATCTCTGAGCAGCTCTGTAGCTTCTCAGGATGGCTGACTTGCCTTTTCTCTCATTCTCTGTTATTATACTTTGTCCAAGTCCTTCCTCAGCACCCACACTCAGCAAACAGTGAGCTATATGTGCAGTGTCTAACACCAGACACTATTCACCCAACCATCCAAACAACAGCAACAAAACCCTTTGTGCAAAGCCTGAAATGAGGAAAGGAGATAGGGAAGGAGAAGCCCTATTTAGTAATAATTATATGTCCCTCACTACCTGCTGTTTGCCTTTGAACCCATTTTTGCAGACTTTTCCCTTTATGTATGGCCCAGAATCACCACATATTTTACCCCAAGCAAATAATTTCTAGATGAGAAATCCATGTTTTGCAACTGCTGGATTGTTTTAGTCTTAAGAACACCCAGGGCAAATAGTATCAAGAGAATCTTTAACCAAAAGAAAAATCAGGCTGCACAACAACCTAAGAAAACTAGTTATGTGTTGCCATAGTAACTGGGCCAGTCTCAGGGTGAAGGGCAGAGTTCTTCAGATTCATCTACTGTGTCTGCAGATTGACTTCCTTGAAACAGAATCATGTGTCCTACTCATCAAAACAGAACCTATTATTTTCATTAAAAAAAAAAAAAAGTTGTAGTCTCAAGTTGATCTGCTTTGGCCTTTACCCTGGTGCCATTCAATGTCTTTTTATCTCAGAAAGGTGGGATTTGGTAACTGGATCCTTTGGAACATTTATTCCTGTAGTCACTAACATATGAAGGGCCTGAGCCAGTGGGGTTTGATAGTAATTAAACTTTGATGGCTGGAACATGACCTGTGAAATGAGTTGCTGATCTCAGTTTAACTCCTAATGGATAGAAATCCACATTGCTCAGAATCTAGCCATACCCCCTTGCTTTCAGGAGAAGAAATCAGAAGTTTGAATGGCCTCTCCTGAGGGTAAACTGCAGGGCCTCTTCCCCAGGAATAATGCTTTGCCTTTCTAGGTCAAAGATATCTTCACAATTAGTCTCAAAATACCCTGTGAGATGTGTGTAAATAACACAAAACACATTTACAGGCTGGGCCACCCGGGTGGAAAGTACAAGTAATTTCCCCAGGTTAAAATAATTAGTAACAGCAGGGATAGAGATTCCAGAGGGTCATTCTCTATTCCTTTTCTAATACTACTGAAAAATTTTTTTTTTCACTCAAGAAACAGCCAATTAATGGACAGCAGGATGCAAGGATGGGTCAATAGTAGTGAATTCATTTTTAAAGGTCATTTTCATTGTAGGGGGTTATTATACCTACAGTTAAATTCTTTTTCCTATAACAAGCATCTTGATGTTTCCTCTCATAAGACTGAAGGACAGTGAAAAATGTGTAGAGTGAGAAGGAGAGCCGAGGGTTGAAGAGAGCTGGATCTGGTAAGGTATTTGGAAATGAGTGACTATACAAAGAAGTATTCAGCTGACAAAAGGAAAGAGTTCTCTAACAGAAAGCACCTGCAAGTAGGTCTTAGTTTGTTTTGGCTGCTATAACAAAATATCCCAGACTGCGTAGCTTATAAACAACATAAATTTATTTCTTACAATTCTGGAGGCTGGGAATCTGAGGTCAGGGTGCCAGCATGGTCAGGGTGCCAACTTTTCCAGGTTGCCAACTTCTCATTGTATCCTCACATAGGAAAGGGGGCAAACACACTCTCTGAGACCTCTTTCATAAAGACATTAATCCCAGTCACCAGGGCTCTACATCATGACCTTATCACTTCTCAAAGGCCTTACCTCCTAATACCATCACCTTGGAGATTAAGATTTCAACCTGCAGACTCTGTGGGGACATGGACATTTAGACCACAGCAATGTACAAGATGTGTGTTGTATAATGAAGGATACAGAAATATCTAAGACATGAGTCCTGTCCTTGGTGCCCAGCAGGATATTCTAATTATAGTACCTGGATTCTGTGGTAGAAAGAAAGTTATTCTGACTCTATTTAGAAATTGAAGAAAATAGTGAAATATTTTTTTAGGGAATCTGAGCTGGGCTTCATAGCATAGGTAAGTAATCATATGAAAATACTGAGGAAAGAATATTTCAGGAGTCAGGAACAGAGAAGAAAAAACAAACCAACAAAACCACACAGACTGGAGTCTGTTAAAATACACTCATTGACAAGATATGGCTTGAGGTTTGGATTAAATTGTGGGACAGAGTTGGAGTGGAAGCACAAAAGGTCCATATTTTTTCAAGGTTCTGAAAAGCAGGTAGAGAACTTTTGAATTATATAGTAGGTCCTCGGGTTATGTTGGAGATCCATTCCTACTGTGTAATGTAACGCGATTTTGGCCTTAAGTCGGAACCCACCTACATAAGTACCTATGTCATTCACATGGAGCACATGCACAGCAGTGAAACAGTAAAAAAAATTAAAAGAAAGATAGTAATTCCTGACCTTTACTTGTGATAAATAACAAAAAACATAAAACACATATGTACAAATGTTGAAATAATGAAACTTTTTTTTTTAATAAATAAACTAGAGGCCTGATGCATGAAGATTCATGCAAGAATGGGCCTTCCTTCCCTTGGCTGCTGGCACCGCCTTTGCTCCAGTCAGAGCCACCTTTTTGCTCTGGCCTGGAGCTACTTTTCCACCTTTCCATGCTGGCCCAAAGGCTTGGAGTGACTGGGGCAGTGTAGAATGCCTGTGACATTGCCATGGTGCACTGTCCCTAGTCACTCAGTGCCTGTGTATGCAAATTAACCTGCCATCTTTGTTGGGTTAATTTGCATAATCACTCTTGATTGGCTGGTGAGCATTGTGAAGGTATGGTCAATTTGTATCTTACTTTTTTATTAATGTAGATGTGAGATGGTAACATAACCATGAAATGACTTATGTCAAGTCTGATGTAACCCAACGACAGCCTGTATTCCACATAGATTCAAATATTGAAAATCAGAAGTTAATTGTGATCATTGTTTTTATGCAGTGAGATATTAGTAAAGTTATTTTTAAAAACGGATTCACATAGTCTGATCTATATTCTATGAAGATAGAACAGATTAAACAGAAAATATTCTGCATTTATGTCAACATTTGTGTATTACTTCCTTCAAAAAGGTCATAAATCATTTTGTAATATGTCCCTGCACAAGGTTGAGTTTGCACAAACTGCAAACTGAAGATGCCTGTGTAAAAGTGTTGACTCAGGTATTTAAAATGAACTATTCAGTTTAAGTGCTGGAGGCACTATTGTGAGAAACAAGGAAATGGCTCCCTGCAGCAGGAAAGCCAGCTACAAATCTCTATTTCCTTTCTTATAGGAACAGCAATGGAAACCTTCAATGTACAGCAGCATAACCCCAGTCTGTTTTACAAGCCCTCTGATTGAGAAGCCAATTGACACAGTAAGAATGAATCCATTTCTTGTTGAACAGTATGATTTTAGCCTATTAGCCATTATTTCTTTTTGTCTTCAGCTATTTGGGGAATATAATCAAGTGGATCTTAAAAAAGTGGCTGGTAAAATCTAAATTATGAACTATTTGGTTGGCCTTTGTGGCACTTGCCCAATACAAAATGTTGAGCAGAGAAAATGTGGATCTGAGATTCCCTTACCTCTGCTTTTGCTTCCACATCCATCCTGATGGTATCCTCCCAAATTCCCTTATTGTCCTGATTTCTCAGCTTCTTGATTTAACTTCCCCTGTCTGTCAAAACTTGTTAGAAGGAAAGAGGGTACTTTTAGTCATTTACATTGTAGAGGAGGAGAAAACCATTTTCCTCTTAAGTATGGTACCTGGGGCAATGCAAATTAAACTAAAAAACAGAAAGACAGGTAAGTGGGAGAAAAGGCTTATTACTGTGAATAAAGAGGCCTTTATAGAAAAGGAGTGAAGACCTGAAGAAGTAGTTATATTTGAGACTTAATCTGCCATTTTAACGAAGAGTGATAAAGCTGTGGAGAAGTGACAAGAGAACGAAAATAGGTTTGAGACTTCCTGAGCCATTAAATTCTGAGAAGGTGAATATATGGGGGAAGTTCATGGAAGATGAATTATTTAACAAAGTTTGTTACACAGACTCAAGTTGGTGCCTTTTCTATTGGTAAGAGTCATCACTGGTGGTCAAGAGTCCTTATCCTCTTGGTATAAGGAAGGAAGATACGGCTACAAATTTATGTTACCTTTATAAAGGGAAATGCTCGCTCTGATTTTAGACAGCATGGGGAGAGCAGAGAGCTTTTCCTGCTTCTGCTGTTTCTCAGTTGCCTTTGTTACCAAGAAGGGCCACTCCAGTATGCACATAGGAGCCAAAATTATGATACTGTTCTTAGAGTAAAGAAAGAGTGATTTATTTAATGCCAAGTCAACTCAGAGAAGACAGGAGGTGCCATTGAAATATATCTCCCACATCAGGAGGTCTGGACAAGTTTTAAGGTTTAGGGGAGAATAGGGAAACATGAGGAAATGTTGATGGGGTAAGTTTTGATTGGAGGGTTTTGGAACTTGACCAATTATGTATAGGGTGAGGGGCAAGAGAAAGCACAAAGGAATTCCAGTCTGGCAGAGTTTGATTGGTCAGTGTTTTGATTTATCCATATTTGATACATGAACCAGATCTTCTTCATTGAAGGAACTCTTGCTTGGTAGAAGGCTCCAATGGACAAACTTCTATTTCTTGAATTCTGTAGACTCAAGATTCTTGGTTCTGGTTCATTCTGAGGACAGGGGCGGCATGTACACAGTGCTGTCTCTGTATAATAGCTCAGATTGAATTAATCACCAATCTGTTTTAAGGGATCAGAACCAGCTTTAAGCTGGTCAATATGATTTGTGTGCTGTTTCACTTTCATCTCAAAATAATCCTTATCCCAAAGTGACTTATTTTGAGGTGTTATATTCTGTTCCTCTTCCACATATTAGTTTGAAATTTATCCACAATACTACCTTTTTAAACAGATTAGTTATTTAAACTATTTTGTGGGAGATGCCTCTAGAGGAGAGAGTATGGTTTTTTTCCCCCTGAACTGCTATTGTCCTGAACTTAAAATCATGTTCCTGAGCCCCACCATGGAGTGTAGAGCCACATGATAAGAGTATGGGCTCTCTGGAGCCAGCCTACCTGGGGTCAAATCCCAGTTCTATCACTCACTGGCTATGTGACTTTGAGCAAGTTACTGTGCAAAAAGAAAAAGAATATCATAATATTACCTGCCTCCTGGGACTATCGTTAGGATTAAATAATTTAATATAAATTAACAAGAACAGGTATTTTTATGTACCCTGACTGAGAGGGATGGGGAGATCGAAAGGTAACCTGGTTCATAGGTCCACTTTCAACCACTGAGCCACTGAGGTTCGGCAGAACAAGGATTTTTTTTTTTTAACGTATTTTGTTCACTGTGTATCAAGAACTTAACACATTGTGCAAATGAACTTAATGAATGAATAAATGAAATGCTATACACATAGTCAGCTTAGACGAAACACATGCTCCATTTGCCTATCTCAAGAAATGGGAGCTACAGAAGGTGGTGTCCTATGTGAGAAAAAGAAGTAAAACTCTGGCCAGTATATCAAGGACACTTTCCACCTCACACCTCAACCGAAGGACCACAGTCCGCTTGGGATACTCACACTTTCCTGTCCCTTGCTACAGTCCTGCATCTCTAGACCACAAAGTCCAGCCACTAGGATGAAACATAGGCTCTGTAGAGACAAGTCAAAAACAAACAATTCTTTCAATTGGGCTTTCTCTCCAACTTAGAGATACATGTGGGCAGAATCAGAGTTTTTGCCGTTTTCCAAAGAAAATGTATCTGCTTTTCCTGCAATTCCTGTGAATTTGCCTTGGTGGCAAGTCCCACAAGGCAGCTGTCTCCAGAGTGTGAGGTCCCGGCTGCACAGGAAGCCTCCTGGCAGTGCTGTCAGCACTGCTGACATGTTGCAGGCAGAGCAGGGGAGCGGCCCAAGCTGGAGATGGAGTTTCTGTGAGGTCTGCACTTCCCCTCTGCTGACTGCAGTTCAAGAGAGAGCAGTATCATTTGGCCCAAAGATTAAAACAACAAGTAATCAAAACACGCCCTGAACATCACAAAGTGTGGTGGCAACCGCTCTGACACTCACACTCTTGCCCTCGCCCTGTCCCCCCACCTCCCCACCTTTCTTGATTTTGTTTATATAGATTCTAAATGGACCACTACTTTGTCAGAACAGAAAGAAGCCATTTCAAAGGTTGAGGTCAGAAGTCAATGAATCCCAGAGGGTCTCTTTTGACTAAACTTTATTTTCATTCATTAGATAGCCCAGACTTTTACGCTATGTTTTTCTAGACCTGATCAGAAACAATAACAGCAGTGTAAGAAGGGTAGGAAAAAGGTTTTAGAATGCTTTTCAGAGAGCAGAAGGCACTTCTGTGCAGTATGACCATTCCTGGATTTAGTGATATTTGCTGTGGATTCTCAGCTCTCTCTTGCCTGCCAGGGCAGAGCTAGCAGTAGGTGTCTGTGAGTGACACCAGGACTGTCTTGGGCTGAGTGGGACTGCTCCCAGAGGATTTTCTTGCTCCCTTTCCTCCCCACAGCTCTGGCTCCTAGGCATAATACTCTTGCTTAAAATACACAAATGAACTCACTTTTTAATCAGCTGTTATCTCTCCACCTGGAGAGGAAAAATGATGCTGAAAATGTAAGCAAAGTCAAGCTTTAATTACAGGGGTCAATGGAAGGCAGCATTTGGGGTGGATAATTGAAACCTGTAATTAATCTGTGTAGAATTCAAACTCTCTTTCTCACTGTCAAGAAGCTTTCTATTGGGTGAAAGGCTGCAAGCTGGACCCAGATGTGATTTCTATCTCCCAAATGATGGTGCCACAAACTGAACCAGGGAATAGTGATTCCGTGCCATGGGGTGGGAAAGGTGTGAAAACCCCCGGCAGGAAAACAGAGGATTCCAAAGTGAGCTAATAATAGGAAAAAGTATATTTGGAGCTAATTCCAGTCTTACTACTAAGCCATAACTTTTTAAAATTAATGGTTATGGTTATGATAAGACTAAAGGGGAGAAACTTCTTAGAGCAAAGAGGGGAAGTCAGGGAAATCATTGGGCCAAGCAATGAATGACTGGAATATGTGGCTTTCCACCCTTGAGTCAAGAGGAGTTATGTGTTTTATTTTGCATAATTGGAGTCAGAACCTTTTGAATGGAGCATACAAATTTATGTAAATAAGAATACAAATGTTAAAAATACGTATCTTGGGATCTCCAGGGGATGACCCAGCGGCTTCATCTTCCTTAATTTTGCAGCTAGTAAATATTGTGTGGTGAAAACTCAAAATTAACATATTCCCCCAAATCCCATAATGTTATAACTGGAAGACTTTCTTGGTAATTTATTGGAGATACTCTGGGAATGAATTAAGACTGATTATTTTAATGTATTTGACAATAAGAATGTTTCCCCTCTCCAAGAGGTTACACAGGGTAACAGTAAATGCCAAAGGGATTGAGGATTTCAAGAAATTAATGACAGATTCAAAGTAAATGGTTGAAAGGGAATTAGACAAGGACGACAGAGACAACAGCAGGGATTTAGGAAGGTAGAACGTGAGAGGATGACATGAAATTCAACTACCAGGCTCTGCCACAAAATTCTCATTGGTGCTACTGGCAAGGCAAGAGACGAAGCTGAAAGAAGCATTATTTCAACTCAGCAAAGCATTGTGCAGATTATGCCAAGTCAGAACAACCTAGCAAAGTGTGACGACTTCTGAAATCTGTACAGAATACCAAGCAGATGGAGTTGTTTTGGATTAGGAGATGCCCATGACCTTGGCTATGCCCACCTTCTTTTCTCAAAGTAATTTAGGTGACAGGTAATCTTGTCCTCAATGAAAAGACATGTAACTGTAACATATTACTTGATTTAACCAGAAGGAAATGGAGAGATAAAGTGCCTTGAGGGAAAGCAGTGTTATTAAATGGAAGGGTGGCTAAGAATGCAAGCCAAGCTCCCTAGGCCTCCTTTATTTCTGGGTGAGTGAAGGGGAAACCGGAGGAGCAAGGTGGAAGTGACTGGATAAACAACAGATAAAAAGAAAGGAACTGGTGAACTCAGAATCAACAAAATATAGTGCTGCTGTATTTCAAAATTGGGAGACACCTCTGGGAAGAAAAGTAGAGGTGTCCATTTTTATAGCTTAATTTTTAGCTCCTTTTAGCACTAGGGAATTTTTCTTAACAAAGGAAAGTTTATCTTAGTAAATGGGACATCTTAGGAATAATTTTGTAAATCACAGCCTGTGGAGAATAATTGAACATTGCATCAAGACATGGATGGGTCTGGAGAGACAGCACCAATTCTATGGGAATTACGCTGGGACTTAATATTTAAGGGTCTCAGTGAC